TGTTATTTGTTGCTTTTCCCTTGCTGCTTATAATATTTGTTCTTTGTGTTTAATTTTTGTTAGTATTATTATATAGAGAAATATGTATTGACATGTGTCCATTTGGGTTTATCCTGTATGGGACTTTCTGAGCTTCCTGGATTTGGGGGAATATTTTCTTTCTTATTTTAGGGAATTTTTTGACTATAATCTCCTCAAATATTTTCTTATGCCCTTTCCTTTTTTTCTAATCCTTCTGGGACCTATATGATTTGAATGTTGGGGAGCTTAATGTTGTCCCAGAGGTCTCTGAGACTGTCCTCATTATTTTTTATTCTTTTTCCTTTTTTCCTTCTCTGCTTCAGTTATTTCCACCATCTATCTTCCACTTCATTTAATCGTTTTTCTAATTCAGCTTCCCTACTGTTGGTTCCCTCCAGTGTATTTTTAATTTCAGTTATTGTGTTGTTCATTCAGTTCAGTTCACTCAGTCGTGTCCCCATGGACTGCAGCACACCAGGCTTCCCTGTTCATCACCAGTTCCTGGAGCTTGCTTAGACTCATGTCCATCAAATTGGTGATGCCATCCAACTATCTTATCCTCTGTTGTCCTCTTCTCCTCCTGCCTTCAATCTTTCCCAGTATTAGGGTCTTTTCCAATGAGTCAGTTCTTCGCATCAGGTGGCCAAAGTATTGGAGTTTCAACTTCAGCATCAGTTCATTATTGATTGTTTATTCTTTCTTCTCAGTCCTCATTAAACATTTCTTGTAGTGTATTGACGCGTACATCTATTTATCGATGTCTCCATTTTATTTTCAAGGTTTTGGATCATCTTTACTATCATTACTCTGGATTCTTTTTCAAGTAGACTGCTTATTTCCTGTTCCTTTATTTGGTCTTGTGGGTTTTTACCAAGTTTCTTCATCTGCAGCATATTTCTCTGTCTTTTCATTTTGTTTAATTTACTGTGTTTGGGGTCTCCTTTCTGAAGGCTGGAAGGTCACAATTCTTCTTAATTTTGGAGTCTGTCCCCTGTGGATGGGGTTGGGCCAATGCCTTTTGAAGGTTTCCTGGTTGGGGGGACTTGTGCCTATGTTCTGATGGATGGAGCTGGGTCTTGTCTTTCTGGAGGGCAATGCCATTCCAATGGTGTGTTTTGGTGTCTGTGGGTTCTATATGGCTTTGGGTAGGCTGTCTGCTAATGTTCAGGGCTGTGTTCCTGTTTTGCTGAAGAATTGGTGTGGGGCATCTGGCATTGGAGCTTTCTGGCCTTTGGGTGTGGCTTGGTCTTAGTACTGAGATGGAGGCCTCTGGGAGGGCTCTGGCCTATTAATGTTCCATGGGTCCCAAGTTCTCTGGTGGTCCAAGGTCTTGGATTTGAGTCTCTTGCCTCTGGGATTCAATCCCTACCCCTTACAGTAGCATCAAAACTTCACAGGTCACACAGCACAGAAGACCAAACCCCTAGACTAATGGTTAAACAACTGCCAACAGCCATGAACTCCCAAAGAGATTTACACACTTACATAGGGAAAAGAAGAGAGAAGAAGGAGAAAAGGGGGAGGGGGTAAAAGGACAAGAAAAGGTGTCAAAAGAGAAGAGAGCAATCAAGCCAATAATCAAACCCCTAAGTGAAAGTCAACACTAAAATTTAGACTATCAAAGATACAAAATTAAAATCAAAAGATCAAAGAGCAAAAATCAAAAACATAGAAAGAATTAGACAGAATCAGATACAAACCATGAAAAACAAAATTCAAAGACACGGAATTTATTTTTTTAATCGATTTTTAATTAATAATTTTTTAATTGAAGGATAATTACATAATTTTGTTGTTTTCTGTCAAACCTCAACATTAATCATCCATAGGTGTACATATATCCCCTCCCTTTTGAACATACCTCCCATCTCCCTCCTCATCCCACACCTCTAAGTTGATACAGAGCCCCTGTTTGAGTTTCCTGAACCATACAGCAAATTCCCATTGGCTCTCTACTTTACATATGGTAATGTAACTTTCCATGTTACTCTTTCCATACATCTCACACTCTCTTCCCCTCTCTCTATATCCATAAGTCTATTGTCTATGTCTGTTTCTCCATTGCTGCCCTGTAAATAAATTCCTCAGTACCATTTTTCTAGATTCTGTATATATACATTAGAATATGATATTTGTCTTTCTCTTTCTGACTTACTTCACTCTGTATAATAGGTGCTAGCTTCATCCACCTCATTAGAACTGACTCAAATGCATTCATTTTTATGGCTGAGTAATTTTCCATTGTGTATACATACCACAACTTCTTTACCCATTCATCTGTCGATGGACATCTAGGTTGCTTCCATGTTCTATTATTCTTCCATGTGCTATTGTAAATAGTGCTGCAGTGAACAGTTGGGTACATGTGTCTTTTTCAATTTTGGTTTCCACAGGGTATATGCCTAAGAGTGGGATTGCTGAGTCATATGGTGGTTTTATTCCTAGTTTTTTAAGGACTCTCCATACTGTCTTCCATAGTGGTTGTATCAATTTACATTCCCACTAAAAATGCAAGAGCATTCCCTTTTCTCCACACCCCCCTTAGCATTTATTGCTTGTAGACCTTTTGATGATGGTCTGAGGTGATAACTGGTCTGACTGGTGTGAGGTGATAACTCATTGTAGTTTTGATTTGCATTTCTCTAATAATGAGGATGTGGAGCATCTTTTCATGTGTTTGTTAGCCATATGTATGTCTTCTTTGGAAGACACACTTCATTCTCCTTTTCTGTCACTCATCAAAAGCTTTTAGAAATGTATTGAAGACTGCCATGTGCCAAACACTACTCTAAGCCCTTTAAATACATCACTGAAGAAAACATCAAAGGTGAAAATCTCTGCTTTCAAAAAGTTTACAATTTAATGGAAATTAGAGTTTTCTGCATCTGACTTCTGCAGTACTTATTCATTACTAGATTTCTTCCTCCGTTAACCCCAACCCCTACCCCTAAAGAGGCTTCATAGAAGCCTTAGGGCTCAGCAGAGAACAATTTTAAATCTTTTAATTTTACATGGGGAAGTTGAGGCTTAAAAAGAAAAATGCCTTGACAAAACTTATAAGATGTAATTCCTGGGCATCTAACTTCAGTGCTCTCTGCTATACTTGCTGACTCTCCATGTCTGGTTGACCCAGATCTAAAACATAACAAGGTGCCTAGTATAAACTCTGAAAGTGAAAGTGTTAGTCCCTCAGTTTTATTCCACTCTTTGTGACCCCATGGACTGTAGCCTGCCAGACTTCTCTATCCACGGAATTCCCCAGACAAGATTACTGGCATGAGTATCCATTCCCTTATCCAGGGGATCTTCCTGACCCAGGGATTGAACCTGGGTCTCCTGCACTGCAGGCAGATTCTTTACTATCTGAGCCATCAGGGAAGCTCAGAATAACCTCTGACACATAATAGTTGTGCATAAATATTTTGTAAGTGATGAATGTTTACGTGAACAGCACTACTCACATTTATGGATCAAAGAAAAGAAAATGTGGTTTGAGATAAAATTGGAGATACTTTAGAGTGTCAGAATTCTCCAAATTCTTTGATAGTAACTCAGAAATTTTCCTCATAATCTCAGTAGAAGATTCATTGTGTGTTATTGCCTATCTAATTATCTAATTAAGACTATTTTCTTCAGTTCCTAACAGTCAATAAATAAAGAAATTATTTATAAGTTTATCTTTTACTCTTTTGTGTGTCTGTATTATAATTTGTATCCTTGCTGATTGTTCATTTAACTGCATTAGGTTTTAAACAGCTGTTGTAAAGTGACCTTGAAATGAACATTTCTGTGGGTAAATGTAGTTGACATCCAAAACAATTAACTGATTTATAGGCTATCTTTTGAAATGCAACCAGGTCATAAAAGAAACTAATTGTAACTGACTTGGTGAAGCCTAGTGTGATCTGAAATCTGACCAGTTAAGTCAAATGCAAGCTGTGACTTCATCTTTCTTGCCCTATATTTTCATCTCTAGTGAGATTAGAATGTAGCTAAATGAAAGGAAATCTGGTTGATGAGGTGCTGGTAGGTACTAGTGATGGAAATGATTATGATGGTATAGCGCAGCTGAATGAAGCCACCTAGTGTTTTCTTTCATTAAGAGGAAAAAGGACACACTTGGTGGCTTCATTCAGCTACTCTACAACATCACAATCACTTCTCTAACTTAGGATTTCTGGTTTTCTTTAACAATAATCTTTTGATATTCTGACTACCTGCCCTGTGTTGCAAACCTCCTATATATCCTATCTCCCCCACCCCCTGCCACTTACTTCCTCAGAGCAGTTCTCTCAGGGTTTACTCGAGATGCTGCCTCCCAGGCTGGAAGTCCTAAAAAGTTAATACATAACTCAACTTTTAGGTTGTGAATTTTTTTTTGGTTGAATATATATCTGAATCACTGTGCTGTACACCTGTAACTAATATGACATTGCAGATCAACTATACTTTGATTTTTTAAAAAAGAGGAAAAATTATCTAAAAGAGAAATAGAAAATAGTATATATGAACCACTCTTGGCTTGTATGTTTAACAGAAGTAGAAAGATAAAATGCTTCTTTAGAGAGATTTGGCACTGATGCTTAAGCAAGTTCATTAGAGTAAATATCCATACAGGAGGGTGGAACTCGAATGAGAATTAGGCCAGAAAGGGGATGATTCTGGAAACTATGTAGCTATAATGATATCCCTATGAAGGTAGTGCTAGTTGGAGAGGTTGGGAGAAACAAATTCATGTGCATAGAAGACATGAGGGAAAGAGGCAGCTAATACTGCTGGGGACCAGTCAGGGATATCTTGGTGAGCAGAATATGCAAATTAGAATGTTATCTAAATTCTGACTTCTTAGTATCTATTAAGTCCTGAAAAATAATACTTATAGAATACAAACAGGTGTAACCAAGGGTTAGTGGCATACTGTATCCATACAGTGGGTTAGATTTTATTTTTAAATTGTCTTTCCCTTGATTCTTTTCCAGATATGGATCAACTCATAAGCAACTTGGAGGTCCAACTTAATTCAGAAGGTGGCTCAATGCATATATTCAAACAGGTCGGTTATCAAGAAAATGAATATTCATATTGAGCCATAATAGTGTTCAGTACATGGTAATCATAGAACTGAAGCGCATTTTTCTTTCTAACAACATGATGGGGACTGAGAAAGAGTGAAGGAAGGGAAGTTTCCAGAAAATACTTGGATGCCTGGGTTTCTGGTTCAAATAGAGAGTAAATCTGGCATAAAAGAAGTGTATCCTTTGGGATCAAGGCTATATGGGCAAGATTAGACACTTCGTAGAAAACAGAAATCATTTATCTAGCACTGTTCCATATTTCAAGCACTCTGAAGACTAAATGCAATGTCTTATTTGATCTTCATAATAACTCTTTTGGATAGTGTGTTAGTCAGTATTCTACAGTAGACAGGAACATCAGAATGTATATTTTTCAATCTCTCTCTATCCTTATATCTACAGATATACATAAAATGTGTATCTATCTATATCTATCTACTCCATATGTCTGCAGATACAAATTATATATATATATATATGTATATCTTTACACATAAAATAAAATTACATCTATATCTATATAGCTATCCAAATATACATATCTTTATCTATCTACCTATCTATAGAGAAATAATTTTTGTGTGTACTTCTTTATTTATTTATTTTTCAATTGGAGGAAAATTGCTTTGCAGTGTTGTGTTGGTTTCTGCCATAGAACAATGCAAATCAGCTGTAATTATACATATATCCCCTCCCTCTTGAACCTCCCTCCCCTCCCCTCATCCCACCACTCAAGGTCATCACAGAGCACCAGACTGGGCTTCCTGTGTTATATAGCAACTTCTCACCACTATCTATTTTACACATGCTAGTGTGTATATATATATATATATATATATATATATATATATATATGTTGACTCTGCTTTCTCCATTCATCCCATTCACTCCATCCTTTATTGTGTCAAGTCCATCCTCTACATCTATGTCTCCATTCCTTCCCTGCAAATAGGTTAATCAATATGATTTTTATAGACTCCGTATATATGTATTAATATACAATATTTGTTTTCCTCTTTCTGACTTACTTCATTCTGTATAAAAGACTCTAGGTTCATCTACCTCACTAGAACTGACTCAAATTCATTCTTTCTCTGGCTGAGTAATAGTCTACTGTATATATATATACCACGTCTTCTTTATCCATTCATCTGTCAATGGACATCTAGGTTGCTTCCATGTTCTAGCTATTGTAAATATTGCTGCAATGAACACTGGGGCACATGTGTCTTAGAATTGTGGTTGTCTTGGGGTATATCCCACAGTAGTGGGATTGTTGGTCATATTGTAGATTTGTTCCTAGCTTTTTAAGGAATCTATAGAGAAAAAGTTTTTAAAAATGTCTTTTATTGAAGTACAGTTGATTTACAATGTTGTGTTAATTTCTACCATGCAGCAAATTGATTCAGTTATACATATGTGTATATATATACATTTTCATATTCTTTTCCATTATAGTTTATCACAGGATATTGAATAGAGTTTCCTGTGCTATACAATAAGACTTTGTTGTTTATCCGTTATATATATAATATGTTGCTAATCCCAAACTCCCAATCCATCCCTACCCCACCCCTCCCCCACCCTACCCCCATTAGCAACCACAAGTCTGTTCTCTATGTCTAGGATGCATGCCTAGGAATGGGATTACAGGCCCATATAGCTTATATTCTTTGCAGCCAAAATGGAGAAGCTCTATACAGTCAGCAAAAACAAGACCAGGAGCTGACTGTGGCTCAGATCATGAATTCCTTATTGCCAAATCCAGACTTAAGTTGAAGAAAGTGGGGAAAATCACTAGACCATTCAGGTATGACCTAAATCAAATCCCTTATAATTATGCAGTGGAAGTGAGAAATAGATTTAAGGGACTAGATCTGATCAACAGAGTGCCTGATGAACTATGGATGGAGGTTTGTGACATTGTACAGAAGATAAGGATCAAGACCGCCCCCAAGAAAAAAGAAATGTAAAAAAGAAAAATGGCTGTTTGAGGAGGCCTTACAACTAGCTATGAAAAGAAGAGAAGTGAAAAGCAAAGGATAAAAGGAACGATATACCCATTTGAATCCAGAGTTTCAAAGAATAGTAAGGAGAGATAAGAAAGCCTTCCTCAGCGATCAGTGCAAAGAAATAGAGGGAAACAATAGAATGGGAAAGACTAGAGATCTCTTCATGAAAATTAGAGATACTAAAAGGTTGTTGCTGAACCATGAAGGATGCCAGGATTCTTGATCCTCTGGAGGAGAAGAATTTAATCTGGGGCCAGAGTCGAGGCTTGATTGCTCAGAGCTTTTGTGTAATAAAATTTTATTAAGGTATAAAAGAGATAGAGAAAGCTTCTGACACAGATATCAGAAGGGGATGGAGAGTGCCCCCTGCTAGTCTTCAGCAATGGAGTTACATACTCTCCAATTAGTTATTACAATGAATCAAAAGAATGTCCAGAGGTTGCAAAGATTTTACTAGACTCATTCCCACAATCTACATTTCACGATAACAGGATTAGTCAGAAGGTTTTCAGGAAGGAGAAACAGTCCTCAAGCTGGATACACCCTTATATAATCCTTAGTACAGACTCCAAACCGAGCCGTTTGTTGTGTGTGTAACCATCAGTTCCAGGCTTAATGATAGAAACCTTTTATGTGACTAAGAATAAGGAATGTAGAGGGGGAAAAAAAAGTTTGATCTTTCCTCCTACTTGAGAATTCCAGACCCCTCTCTCCTTGGGGACCCCTGGACTTCTTATCAACCTACCTAGGAATTGACTGTCTCAATACCAAGGGAATATTTCATGCAGATATGGGCTCAATAAAGGACAGAAATGGTATGGACCTAACAGAAAAAGAAGATATTAAGAAGAGGTGGCAAGAACATACAGAAGAACTGTACAACAAAGATTTTCATGACCCAGATAATCACAATGGTGTGATCACTCACCCAGAGCCAGACATCCTGGAATGTGAAGTCAAGTGGGCCTTTGGAAGCATCACTATGAGCAAAGCGAGGAGAAGTGATGGAATTCCAGTTGAGCTGTTTCAAATCCTCAAAGATGATGCTGTGAAAGTGCTGCACTCAATATGCCAGCACATTTGGAAAACTCAGCAGTGGCCACAGTACTGGAAAACGTCAGTCTTCATTCCAGTCCCTAAGAAAGAAAATCCCAAAGAATGCACAAACTACCACACAGTTGCACTCATCTCACACGCTAGTGAAGTAATGCTCAAAATTCTCCAAGCCAGGCCTCAGCAATACGTGAGCTGTGAACTTTCAGATGTTCAAGCTGGATTTAGAAAAGGCAGAGTAACCAGATATCAAATTGCCAACATCCACTGGATCATCAAAAAAGCAATAAAGTTCCAGAATCTGCTTTATTGACTATGCCAAAGCCTTTGACTGTGTGGATCACAATAAACTACGGGAAATTCTGAAAGAGATGGGAATACCAGACCACCTGACCTGCCCCTTGAGAAAACTGTATGCAGGTCAGGAAGCAACAATTAGAACTGGACATGGAACAACGGACTGGTTCCAAATAGGAAGATGAGTACGTCAAGGCTGTATATTGTCACCCTGCTTATTTAACTTATGTACAGAGTACATCATGAGAAATGCTGGGCTGGAAGAAGCACAAGCTGGCATCAAGAATGCTGGGAGAAACATCAATAACCTCAGATATGCAGATGACACCACCCTTATGGCAAAAAGTGAAGAACTAAAGAACCTCTTGATGAAAGTGAAAGAGGAGAGTGAAAAAGTTGGCTTAAAGCTCCACATTCAAAAAACTAAGATCATGGCATCTGGTCCCATCACTTCATGGCAAATAGATGGGGAGACAGTGGAAACAGTGTCTGACTTTATTTTTTTGGGCTCCAAAATCACTGCAGATGGTGATTCCAGCCAGGAAATTAAAAGACACTCCTTGGAAGGAAAGATATGAGCAACCTAGACAGCATATTAAAAAGCAGAGACATTACTTTGTCAACAAAGTTTTTTCCAGTAGTCATGTATGGATGTGAGAGTTGGACTATAAAGAAAGCTGAGCACCAAAGAATTGGTGCTTTTGAACTGTGGTGTTAGAGAAGACTCTTGAGAGTCCCTTGGACAGCAAGGAGATCCACCCAGTCCACCCTTAAGGAGATCAGACCTGTGTATTCATTGGAAGGCTGATGTTGAAGCTGAAACTCCAGTACTTTGGCCACCCAATGGGAAGAGCTGACTCATTTGAAAAGATCCTGATGCTGGGAAAGATTGAGGACAGGAGGAGAAGGGGACGACAGAGGATGAGATTGTTGGATGGCATCACTGACTCAATGGACATAATTTGGGTAAACTCTGGGAGATGGTGATGGACAGGGAGGCCTGCATGCTACCATTCATGGGGTCACAGAGAGTCGGACATGACTGAGCGACTGAACTGGCTGATGGCAACTGTAGTTTTAGTTTTTTGAGGAACCTCCATATTGTTTTCTATAGTGACTGCATCAATTTACACTCCTAAAACCAGTGTAGAAGGGTTTCCTTTCCTCCATACCCCAGAGAGAGAAAGACTTTAAATAATTGGCTAACATGATTATGGAATTCTAGTGAATCCAAACTCTGTTGGGGTAGACTGGCAAGCTGGAGAGCCGTAGAAGAGTTATTTTATCAGTTCAGTTCAGTTCAGTCACTCAGTCATGTCCGACTCCTTGCAACCCCATGAATCACAGCACGCCAGGCCTCCCTGTCCATCACCAACTCCCGGAGTTTACTCAAACTCATGTCCATCGAGTCAGAGGTGCCATCCAGCCATCTCATCCTCTGTCGTCCCCTTCTCCTCCTGCCTCCAATCCCTCCCAGCATCAGGGTCTTTTCCAATGAGTCTACTCTTTGCATGAGGTGGCCAAACTCCACATGAGCTGGAGTTTCAGCTTCAGTATCTGTCCTTCCAATGAATACCGAGGACCGCTCTCCTCTAGGATGGACTGGTTGGATCTCC